CTGTACAAAAGTTCATACATATGCACAGATCACTTCACCAAAGTACTTTACAAAAGTTGTCTTCCATTTGCAAAGACTGTCATCAAGAGTGCATCTGAATGACAGATAGACAAAAAACATGGGTCTCTTTGCAAAATAGACAACACATGACCTGTTATAAACCTATACAGCTACATATCCTGACTTTCTTCAATTTGACAGCAGATCAAGAACAAGGGTCAGCCTGTTTCCTTCATCAAGTTCATAGAAACTCTTCAAATCTAACGGTGTGGCATTGAGTCTCCTAAATCCCTGCACCTTCTGTAGTTGGGTGAGGCCCTCGAGCTTGTCCAAATTTGTCATCAACTCCTTTCGCATTTTATCATGCTCCTCACTCTCTCCTAGAGCTCTAGCAATTGTGTCAAATGACTCCTTGATCAGCGGCCTCATTAGTGCCATTTCATTAGACATTTCAGATCCATTATCATCAGATGGTGCTGCTGGACCTTTCTTCTTCTTTGATGATCCACCATGGGTAGTCTTGGCTGGTTCTGATTCTTCTCTGCCACCCCCTCATTTATGATATTGAACATGTCTTCATCCGTTGTAGGAGGGACCATACCATCCATAAAAAGCGGAGGGTCTTCATCATCCTCCGAGCCACTATAGAGTCATCAACATTAATATCCGGGTCATTTCCTGTATAGTTAACTACGTTAGTATGAACACAGCAATAAACATAAATATGAAACAACCATATTAATTCCAAATGACAATTCTGGACCTGATATTCCTCCACTTCCGGTGGCACGTCCATTGGCGAACACCGGTGCAAGGTCATCGAATTGTGGGAATGGAAGTCCCTTATAGCTTTTACAGGTTGGGTTTTGCTTCAAAGTATAAAAAGAAGACAACAATAAATAAAAGTACACCTACCAACCAAACATCAAATGTTTGTCATTAAAATCAGAACATAAATGACAGGACATACCGCAATGAATACGTCCCAAACTGCCTTGTCTGCATTTATACATTCTTGCACCGGATCCCAACCAAATCCGCTTAGCCCACGCATTATGACGGTCGAATGAAACCAGTGTTTCAGCTTCTTGTACCTATTCTGAATCGTAGGCTTTGCTTTTAGACCACATCCGGGCACTTTCTTCTCCATCATCTTTTGTATCTGCTTAAACACACCGTTCTTGCAAGTTCCGTTGGTGATGAATCCTCTCTCTGTCAGCTCCAGCAAACATTCCAGGAAGGGACCATCATGAGCTGTATCCCAGAAGTTGTATTCTGCTTTGGAGGCATCTCCCGTCTCCCCAACAACTTTCTTTCTCCTCCCCATACCTGAAAACATTCATACATGACATGACATTTCTCAATGGCAGAATATAAACATGATACTCATTTGCACTAGTAATAGCACACAAAAGTGATATAAACATGGCATAAGATAAACAGTTTGGCAATTTAAACAACATTACAAACCATGTTCTCGAGACATCTGTCCTACATTACATATTAATAAACTGACAAAAGAGACAACTTGGTAGCATTCAATGTTTCTTCTGCCATATCTACCAAACAAACCATAAAGTTCAGCACCCTATTGCTCTGCCAGCAAGTGTTCTTACACTAGAAAAAACATGGAAAATTACAAAAGGGACCAAAACAAATCATAACATGTCTATCTATTTGCTCACATAGTAGTGGCCTTTTCATTGCGAAACTGGGTCCATTGTGCGCAGGGTTGCATGCTAGTACCATCAATGGTCTCCACATCAATTGAAGGAATATGTTCGGGCTCTTCGTCCTGATAATTTATGTCAATCTCATCAACTCCATATTCCTTCTTGATAAAATTATGTATTATACAGCAAGCTATAACTATTCGGGACACTTGCTCTGGAGTGAACCATGTTGCATTTCTCAAAATGGCAAATCTCATATTCATAACACTGAAAATGCGCTCTATTACATTCCTAGCAGATGAATGTTTCATGTTGTAATACTCTTCAGCTGTTTCAGGTTGTCTGTTACCCCAATCTTTGAGATGGTATCTTTGACCCCTATATGGGGTCAAATATCCAGGGCTGTTCACATACCCGGCATCACACAGATAGTAATTTCCTTCATTCAAAAGTATATACAGATTCAGTTATGCTATTCATTGAACAATATCAGATGTAAGTTCCATTGAATTATATTCAAAATGTTGTACCTTCAGGCACAACAAGGCCATTTGGTCTAGTGAGAGCATCCTGAAGCACCCTACTGTCATGAGCACTACCCTCCCAACCAGCAAGACAGTATATGAATTGGGAGTGCAAACACCTAGGACGTTCATAGAGATGTCACCCTTCCTATCTCGGTGTCTAGGTTTGTCCTCAGTCAATGGACGAACATCAATATGGGTTCCATCTAGGGCTCCTAGGCACTTCTATTAACAGAAACAATTAGGTGTTAACATATAGTGTTGTTAAATATAGCAAAGTTGAATAAAAAGATTGAAAAGGCATAAAAATTGACCTTAAAATGCTTCCACCTACTGTTGGTACATTTGTTAGGAATAGGAACCGACTTCTTCATCAGCAGATTGTTCAATCTAATAACAGCCTTCAGCACACGATGAATTGATCGAGATATAGTCTCACCAGATCGTCGCAAATTCAATTGCAAAGTCCTATTCTTCTCGTTATGTGAAATGGTACGAAGAAAGGTATGAACCATCTCATCAATGTCTACATTCCTAGTTTTCTTCAACCCTCCTTCTACAATAAGAACCTCACAAAACCTTCTAAATAATGTACGATTCATCCTGACTTGGTCAAAGGTATAGGTGTCACTTAGTCTGGTTGTGTTTCTAAGGTGCCTTTGCCTATCATAGTGCCTAACCAAGTAGCTATCCAATGGTTGCCTAGCAAGTCGAGGTATAGATTGACGTTTCTCTAAGATTTTAGCCAATTCCATCCCTAGACTCACATATATCACAATTAGATTCATGAAAGCGCTAATTGCAGCAACCACTTGTCGCCTACGCGTCGGATTCAATGCGGACAAACGCGACATCCCTTACAAGACAGGAAATTTTGAATTAGTGATTTACATGATAACGCTCTCTTTTATGGAACGTCTTACTAAGCTTCCCAATGGTTTGCATTAAACAATATATAGTGTTCCCAAAAACCAGATTGAGAAGACCGAGCCATTTCATGAACATTGTAGAAAAGCACCCAAAACCAAATTGAAAGGGACCGTTGTGATGAACAAAGTAAGTGCCCCAAGAAACAACAACAGACCAATAAATCGACATCACAAATGGTTTCATAACAGCAGACCAAGCGAGTTGCCAAGAAAAACCCTCGACCGAAGCCGAGAAGGAGAGCGCATCACAACACATAAAAATGAACCGAACAGAATAATCAGGAGAACAACACCCTTTTATTTTGATTCAGATTGTGAAATACGCAAACTCCATAGATATAGGATATCAGATGAACCCTTGTATTTATAACCCTTCTCTAACCCTAAATCGGAAAATACTAATGTGGAACATGGCAAAAGAGGTAGAGGAACACGATACGAGAAATAGAGAAGAAGATTCACTCACCGACCCTAGCAGACGATCCGCTAACTCCGGCAGCTTCCTTGTGCTAATAGCAGGTCGATGCCGCCGGCGATTGTTCTGTTCACTCGTGAGCTGTTCGCCAGGAGAGAGAGACGGGAGCAAGCAGAATGAGAAGAAGGAAGAAGCAAATGGTTAGTCTGTCTCGATATGATGCAAGAAGGACAAAGTGGGGTTTACAAAAAATAAGCAGGGACAGGATTGGAATAAAAAAGCCCTCAAAACCCATTATTTGTGAATAACTCCTCCCCATGTGGTATTCTAAATACCTCATTTATGAGTTATTTATAAATAACTCATGATCAAATAACGCATTTCATTATTTTCCATCCAAATGAGTTATTTCGGCCGGAATAACTCAGAATGAGTTACTCCGGTCGAAATAACTCGTTTGAATACCCCATCCAAACGACCCCTAATTTTTTTTAAACAATGATAGTTTTGACTTTTTTCCATGTCTGACGACTCTCTGCTTCATTTTTCTCTTGTAGTTTTATACTGACGAATTTAATAGGACTTCCCAATAATTCGACCATTGATCGCCTATCGCTTATTGCATTGTCTATCTAAACTTTTGGTTGTTGCATGATCGGCTTGATCCTTCCAAATGTTCTATGTACGATGGTTTATATATGTAGATTGGTAGCTCCAGGTAGATGGCGGCAGCGGCGATTCATCTGCCTCTCAAACCCTAACCTCTCTGTTGTTCGTCCCTCACCGACGGATATTTGTGCGCTCCAGTGATCGATCGGCAGCTGCGTTTCTTAAGATTGCTTTCCCACCGTCTCTATACCCCGGGATCACGCCGTCGTTGATCTTTTGATATGACGACAAAAGTCCTCCATTACTCCAGTCTCCAAAGTCCAAAGGTGATTTCTTGGAAGAGCTTCCCCGGTTCGTCAATTTAACTGTTGTTCTCGAGCTCACCGAGAGGAAGAAGAGCGAGGTGAAATAGCTGAAGAAACTGACCTGTAAATTCAAGAGAAGAGTGGTTGGCAGTGCAGTCTGGCTTCACCTGAAACTGAGCACTGCAGCTGCTACTGAGAAGACGCCGTAGACAAGCTGCTGGAGGATTTAGACGGTAGAGATGGAATCGAAACCAAGATCTCCCTCAAGAGGAAGCTTACCATTCGTGTTCCAGGAAGGAAGGGATCTCAAAGTTGTGGCAGGAATGGCAGGAGTTCCATTGGTTTAAGGATTCCAAGGTGGGTCTTGAGATGCAGGAGTGATGCTCTGTTCATGGAGAGTCCGCCGATTGCTGCAGATGTACTTGCTCTGAGCAGGAGGTAAGATCATTCATCAACTTGAATGATTGAATTTTGATCAACGCACTGTTTTACGCATCATGTAGATCTTGATTCCAGACTTGGGAACCTTTTGCTTCTTCCTTCCCCTGAAGGGAGAGAGCGACTCAAGAAGGCTAACCTAGATGTGACTTTTTTTGTAGTAATTCTGACCCCAACCCTTCGAGGAGGAGGATTAGGGAGGCTAATTTAGGCGTTGATGGCCTAATTTTGCAGCAGTTTCTGGGAAGATGAACTAGTTTAACAGATTATTGAGGTCCTTACATCAAACAGCATGTGGTTTTGTATAAATGTTAACCATTAACTAGCATCAGAACCGCCCTACTGAACGAGTTTCTTGTACTTGGTTCACAACAAAAGCTGCATTTTGCTTTACACAGACACAAAAAAGAAGGAAAAAATCTCAGCTTCTCTCCTAACCAACCGTAGGCAGCAGTAGTGTACTAACCATCTATCCTATATGATAATGGTGTGAAAGGCCGAGTTTCGAGCTATTGAAGTCTTCAGAATCGGGCACCATGAGAGTCATCTATATCCACAAAAATCAAGAATTTAGAGTTCATCGTCAACAATGAATGAGATCATATATGCATCAAAAACTATCTGTTTCTTCCTTTGATGCCAAACATATAGTGACTTAGAATGTCCCCTGCTACTAATTTGAAACGTTCGTAGTTAGGCGAAAATGTCTGCAGTTCAGATCCACACAACACTTTGGATGAAAGTTATCTCATTACAAGCTCAAAGCCAAACCAAAGAGCTGTAGCCATACCTTGATTTACTTTTTGCATGCTCTCTTTTGAAGGGTCCTTGAACCACAACATTAGCAGACTCTTCAGTTTGCCCCATTCGCTACGTTACCTCCCTGTCCCTTTGATACAAAGAGAATCCCACAGAATTTGGTTAACGACTAATAAGCTAATGCTTTGAAACTAGCAGTGATGATGTTCATCATGCAGCACAGACCCTAATACTACTACAAGAATAATTATTAAAAAAAATGTAAGAACCTGGTTAGTCGGATCTTTCCCATTAGTTCTTCGAGGGCTGGAATTAAGGTCAAACAAATTATTTTCCATTGTTCCATTCCTGCCAACCGAATTGTTGTTCTCTGCCACCGGAGCCGGAGAAACCCTACGATCTTGCTGAGTTACTGGCTTCATAAATTTAGGTGGCGGCATTTGATCCCTCATAACATCATCCTCCACATGGCCAGGTTTGTCACCTGGAAACTAAAACAACACGAAAATCAAACAGCACCAAACCATGTTAATTTTCTCAGCAAAACTTCTCTTACTTCTGCTGCAAGCTTCAATACAGGGGAGAGACACAAACCTCCACCCTCTGCCTCAGTAAGAGATATCTCCCGTGCGTCCTCTTGCCACCAACGTGCACAGACATGTCGCATTGCAGGCAGAGCGAAGTACCATCAACCTCGCAATAAAAGAACGCTACAATGAATGTTTGTACAGGTTAAGTTTGAAAGTGAATCAACCACAGCACCATGGCGTCGCAAGAATAAGCATCTCATCACTCACTCAATCAGTCACATACCAGGTTCATTCTCACAAATGTCGCAACGAGGAACCGCGTTCGGAACAGCTAGCCCAACACGCACATGCCGACTAGCTAGCTTGTTACACAAATGAACCTGCAAGCAAACGGACCACAAAAGACCCGTCGCCATCACAACTAACTCTAAGCTAGAAACTCGCACAAGCAAATCGCATACAAATCTCTGTTGCCGCTACGCCACAGAACATGCTTATATACTATTAATAGAGCTTTATCGCCTTCATCTAAAATTAATAATTGAATTTCCAATTACACTAATCTTCGGCCGGCCTGAAAAGTTGAAAGACAAATTCAACTACGAATACGATTCCCGTGATTCGACCGAGATCGGAACTTCTGCGTATTATTATTGTTATTATTAACACCATCATCTGAGCTCCATAATCGTACGAGTGAATTCAAACCTTATCATCGCAGGCGCGGCAGAGAGCAGCCTCGTCGGCGGCGCAGAAGAGGATGGCGGCGGCGTTTTCGCAAACGTCACAGAGCGTCCGCATTTTTTTTCGCCCTCTGCTGAGTGTGTACTATTTCGGCTTCTTCCTCTTCCCTTTGCTAGTGCCTTCTATCTTCAAAATCTCTTCCACTACAAATCTTCTTCTGTTCTCCGCTCTGTCAACGCCATTAAAAGCACAGAGTTGAACCGAGCTTCAGATCTCCGCTGCAAGAAGAGAAGGAAAATCGGCGGGGAAGTTTGATTTGCGCGGCCGCGGCGGGAGAAGGCGGAGGGTTTATTGGCAGCTGGTAGATGGAACGATTTTTTGGATGAAACTGAAGCCGCTTTCGACTTTCCAAGCGAGAAAATTTTCTGGAAGGGAAGGGAAGAGGAAGGAAAAGGAAAGGTGAGAGTGCGGGCCATGGCTGTGGGGGGAGCTCTTGACGACGGCCACACGAATTTTGATTTCTTTATTTCTGGACTAACCACGGCCACACGATTTTGGTTAGTGGAATCAATACGTCTCTGCTGTCTCTCTCTACTTCTTCTTTCTGGAAAATTTGCAAATTAAAATCCCAAAAAAAAAACAGAAATACTTCCCCAGTTTGGCAAGCGGCCCCCATCAGCCAGTCAGCCACAGAGCCACTCTTGGTGAAAAACCAGTCGGCGATTTAAAACAAAAGGGAAAATGTTCGGGAAAAGCGTGGGTGAATAAACAGTAACCCACAAAAGGAAATTGATAATTTTCTATTGCTCAATTTTTTTGCTGAAAGTGGAAATGGAGTGGAGTGGTTGTCCACCATTATCTTCTTCTTCCCCTGAGATCTTGAGTTTTAACTTTTAGGTTTAACATGTTGTGCCACTTGGTTTCCTTTTTAGTATTCAGTTGAATTATAAATGTTGATATGACTTGAATCGGATTATCAGCCGCTACGACTGGTAATCGGGGGTCTCGCTGTATGGGCTCAATGTTATTTGGGTTCGGGTTCTGGGCCTGGTCTGTAAACGTTTCCTTTGCTATATTGGATTAGGTTTAGACCCACATGGAGAAGTACTATAAATACTTCTCATACTCCTCTGTAATCTGAAATCTCCTCAATATAGTGAAACTGGCTCTCTCTCGCCCGTGGACTAGCTAACACACATCGTGTTAGTGAATCACGTAAATCGTGTGTCTGTGTTCTTTCGATTCTCGCTTTCGTATTCTTGCTTTGTCGATTCCGGCGATTTCCCGATCCGTAGCAGCGCGTTTATAACAATAAAAGCGATGCCATCAAATAATAATATTGTAAATAACGCTGGAAGAAACAAAACGTCAAGGGAGGCAAAGCTTTGTCTTTTTCATCAGAGTGATCTGAAATTTGAGGGGAAAATAATGGGCTTGATCGTTTTGATGATGTGATGAGATGAAGTTTCAATGATAGCATCAAAGGATGTTGTAAACGGAGTCCAACCATCTTTTTATCCAAATGATTTTAAGATGCGGTAGTTTTTCTTTATGTTTCGGCTCGAATGTGATTTTGGAAATGAAGGTGGAGGTGCCTCATGAGATTGTTGCATGTGTTTTCTTCTGATTTTGTCAAATTGTTGGTGGTCGTCTCCTTGGAGTGGGTGTTGTTTCGGCTTCATCCATTGATTGAAGTTTCTTTGTGACTTCAGGATCTCGTTTTCTGGCCGGCAGTTTCAATGATCTTTTGGTAGATTTTGGTTAATGAACGTCGGCAAGCGGCAACAACAGTCTTTTTGTGGTTGTTCTATATATATAGGGTTTAGGAGGAGGGCGGATCCCATGACTAAGGGGTCCTTAGTCACTTGACTAAGCCCCTTCTAGACATTAGATCTGGACACTTCAATCCAATGCTTAAAAAGTGAGAATGGGCGAATGGCTATTTAATTAATGACAGAGGTAGTTTGGGTATTATGGAAAATTACGAAGTATACAAACCGGATTTACAATCAGTACAAATCATACAAACATACGAACATTACAAACTAGAGCGACAAAACATACAAACAGATTTACAAACATTACAAACGTATGAACTGTACAAACAATACAAACTAAACCGACAAACAATACAAACCATACAAAAAAAAAACAACCGGGTTGACTTTGGAGGCTTCATCCCTATATAGAGGGACTCCTTCCCAAAGTCAACCCGGGTGTTTTTTAGACATACAAACATGGTGGACAAAAATGACAAACTAGACCAAAAATTCATACAAACTGGAAAAACACCCGGGTTGACTTTGGAGGCTTCATCCCTATATAGAGGGCTCCGTCTCAAAGTCAACCCGGTTGTTTTTTAAAATGATAAACATGGTGCACAAAAATAACAAAATTTACAAACATTACAAAAAAAACTGACAAACATTACAAAATAACAAAGCATATAAACATTACAAAATAAACCGACAAACAGTACAAAACATACTAACCGTACAAAATGATAAACAATACAAAACGAATCTATACAAACATTACAAAATAGGTGAGCAAACATCACAAATCCAACACTGTCGTCGGAAATCTCTCTCTCCCCCCCCCCCCTCCCCCCAGGGCATTAAATTCCCCATCTCTCTCTCACACTCTCTCGTATTCTCTTCTGGGGAATTATTCACCTGGGACAACAAATCCCCTTGCCGGCGAAAGCAAAGGGACGCCGGCAAAAAGGGACGAGAACACAGGAAGCTGGCGCAGAGGAGAGGAAATCGGCGGGACAGAAAGGAACGCCGACAGGTAAGGGATAATTTGTTTTAATTAATAAATTAAATAAATTTGCAATTACTACAATACCCTTCATTAAATGAGATCAATTACAACCATTAGATTTTAATGAACCTCAATGACTGAGATGGACTTAGTCATGTGACTAAGGGACCCTCCTAGTCACCTGATCTTGGCCCGTTTAGGAGTATGCCTATGAGTGAGCAGAAAAAGATGAGGAAAATGGCTCTGGCAAACTGTCATAATTAATGAACAAGTGTGAACTTCGTTGCCCAACACTAGGGAGTACTGACCACATCGAGGGTCAAGTCCTAAAAGATGTTATACGCTAAAACATCAGCAATATTCTACTACACAATCTAAATACGATTCGTGCATCGAGATTAAGGGATCGTTCAGAAGTTGTGATTGTTAAATAGATGTATTTGTTCTGAATATGTGTATAATAGTACACATGTATTATCGAATTTGATACATTATAAAATGCAACGTTTTGCATACGTGATTGTGTATGCCATAAAATGTGTTATTTGACCTAAATAACACGCCTAAATACTCAATCCAAACAACCTCTAAGTATAGTAACAAATCCTACCTTCTAAATGACCCCTAAGTTCTATGTTATGCTGAATATTCTTTAGCCCTCACCATATTCATTGACGGAGCCAAATGTTGAAAGTAGGTTTGTCCTTTTTAAAAAAAAAAATAAATGATTTCAATGGAGATTTCATTTAAAGTGTAGTAAATTAAATTTATAACAACTAAATAATAAAATAAGTTTTAGTTTAGTCACAAAATACTCTTATGTTATCTTAATGTGATGAGATCTATCTCTTTCATAAGCATGTATACGAGTTTATTGTTTTTCTATAAAATTTACCTGTATCTCGTGACAAAACCAAAACCCTCTGGCTCAGCCACTAACCATATTATCAAAGTGTTAAATCTATTGTCTCGTCTTATGTTTAAGTAAGATAAATAAATATACTCTATCACATAATGTTATTTCCCCCTAGATATCATGTTCGAAATAGATAGTCACAACAATTTGTATAACTAGATGCAGCTGTTGACAAATATTTTCGATAAAATAATATTCTGTGTCACTATATGGATAATCTTATTAAACCTATTCGAAGTATAAGTACATTAAAATGAAATAAATGATAAAGAAAGACAATGAATTACATCCAATAAAACTCCTACGAGTCCATCAACATTGTCCCGTTCCAAAAACATGTTGAATAAGAGATTGTGCATCACCACATAAATTCACCACAAAAAACTATGCATTAGAAACCAATTCACTACGTAAAATAACAAGAAATCCCATTAAAAAAAGTCATATCTGGATAATGTTGTTGAGACAGTCATAGTATATGGGGAAAATATTACTTAACACTTTGTCATCCCAAACAAAACAAAGTACTCTAATCTTTAACCTCATTACAATGGCGGAGGGAAGGGTTGATGGTAGGGTCAAGAAAGAGTAATTCTATGAACGCCTAAGTCCTAAGTACTAGATAGTGACAAAATGTATTGTCTAGGTGCTAGGCAGATAATTAGGCTTTTATAATTACTTACATAATAATAGGTACGATTAATTGGTGTGAGGTGTGATCGAACGAAGTGCGGCACGCTTAATTGCACTAGCATATCAAGGATTAAAAGAATTATAGCTAATCTTTTCAAATGACATTATCTCTAATTCTCGTTTATTCAACGCATCCTTCACTGATTCCTTTATCTGAAATTGCAAAAAAAAATTGATAGACGGAAATTGCAATTTTAGATCATGACCTATTAAAGAAAGAAAAACCTCCAACTTCCCATTTTACTGTGCATCCAGACTGCTTTTACTGCACATATAGACTCATGAGTACTGTAGCAAACCGGAAGGTGGTTGGGAGTGGTCGTCCATTGCCTGTGGACTCATCGGAGATCAATAGGTTGTTGCCTGTTTCGTTGGGCCCTAGCTGATGGGTAACTCAGATTTAGTTTTGCACTTTGTTGATTTGTTGTCCTGGAACGCGTTGGCCGCCAGAGATCCAGGAGTTATGCGTCCCCATGTGATGACGTAGGTTGGATGGGCGGTGGGTTGGTTGAGTTCTCAACGAGGGGTTTTTCGGGATGGGGGGAGGGATTGGGTCAGTTGTTCGAGTTGATGGTTGGGCTTGTCACTTCTGTTGTCAGCTGCAGACGCTGAGTGGAGGAGCTGCAACGGTAGTGGGGTGGTTCCTCAGGGGGGGAATTGGCAATAAATGCTTGTCGCCTTCTTTAGACTCTCAAATTATTTACGAAATGATTAGGAGAAGATTTGTCACATCTCACGAAATTTGGATTGCACAGGGGATTTAGTGGGAACTCTTCTTTGTTTATCTACCTGGGTCTTGCCACTTTCAGAACTGGTTTCTCTCTCTATTTTGTGAACTTCTTTCGACTCTCTCTCTCCGCTTTTCTCCGCCTGTTTCTTTAGTTGGATTTGCGTTTTGTTCTGCTTGCGATGGATGCTACGTTGCTTTGCAATCTGAAAGGGGCAATCAGAGAAGTGTTTCTCTGTTTGCGTTTGCTGCACGTTTGGTACGCGAAGAATCCTGCTGGAACCAGGGTCTTCGGCTACTGTTGTCTTAGGGTGGATCAAACGGTATTTAACGAGTCCCTTTTTATTCTCTTCCAGCATATGCGCGATGCTCTTCTTCTCTAAACTGTGGAAATTTATGTCTTTTCACTTCCATGCAGGGGGTGTTGATTCAGAGTCTTGCTGATCATAAGATGGGACTTGATTTTGAAAGATTGCTACGCGTTGGAACGATATACATAATCAGGGGTTTTGGTCTCAGCGCTGCCATGAATCTCTATCGGGCTTGCTCGATGAATCTCACAATGGATCTGTCCAGAACCACTAGCTTCCAGCCGTGCGGTCTTCCAGCCGCTGATTTCCCTGCTGACTCTTTCGAGATTGTTCCATGCGCAGGGCTGCCTATACACGCTGGGAACAATCGTATCCTGTCAGGTCAGGCCCCAAATCCATTTTTATTGATGTTTATTTTGTGTTATTCGCTTTTCTTATGATTCTTTAATCGAACTTATTGTGCAGATGTAATTGGTCGTCTTCATTCTATTGGCGGTGTTGATCATCAGATAACAACTCATGGTTCCGCTCCTAAACAAGTTTTGGTACTTGAAAATGACTAATGAGCTCCTTTTTATTTGGGGTCTTTTTCGGTGTTGGGGTTCTCATGTTTGTTGTTTCTGTACGCTGATGGTTTTTTTTTTCTTGTATAGGAGGTAGAGGTTTTTCATTACCCTGTGGAATGAGCTTACTACAGTTCTAGATCGCGCTGCTCTTATTCAGGCAGACAACATTGAACCTGTTATTATTGCATTTGGAGGTCTTATGGTTGGTCGGGTGCTAGGTGAGCTTCCCATCTTTCTTTTAATCTTTTGACGATTCTGCATCGGCTAATTTGGTTTGTCTTTTGTTACTCAGATGGTGTTTACACGTGTTCGAGTTCCCCGTGTGGCTATCAACCCTCCCATTCCATAGGCATATGGGCTGGCCACCCTGTACGTTATTCGCACTTTTTGTTTCTTCCTTTTATTTGAAGTGTTTGGTTTGAATATGTCCTCCTTTATAAGCTTTGCTGGATCAAGGGCTC